TGGTTTGCTTTGGGGTTTTTTGTGGGTGTATTTTTTTTTTTTTTCAAAGACTGTGAAGTAGATAAATACATCTCATGAGTTTATCATTCTGTAGCTGCTTTCCTCAGCAGTTCAGATAATGGGGAATCAGAAAAAATAATTTGCGTTTGAACCTTTTCGTGTTGAATTCATCTTGAAATATTTAGGCAAATCATATACAAGTTAGTTGACAATTTTTCTTGTCTGTAAAAAGGTAGCAGTACTTTTTATTGATTTGATGAACCACTTACAGGTCCATTCTGTCTTCACAGAATTACAAAAAAATCACCCTGAAAATAGTATTTTTAATAATTAAAGCACTCTGTAGCATGCAGTTAATTTGTTGGAGAGAATCAGAAATTGCAAGTTAATTGTAATTTGAGTTGACTGCCAAAATCTATACTTCTCTAGCGTCCTTTGGATTCCTTCTGAGAATGATTTGACCTTATGAGGAAAGTAATGTTTAGACATTCATTGTGATTCTCAAATTACTGAAGTCCCTTGAGATATAATGTTTGATATATATATACAGACTTGGATAACGCATTGAGGTGCCTTCAGCGTGAAGATCCAAGTTTAAAAGTGAAGCTAGATCCTGACACAGGACAAGTAAGATGAATCTTCTATTGCTCACCTTTTAATCAAGCTTTATTTCAGAACTGTCAAGACCACCCTTCATTTAGTTCCTTTGCGTATTGAGGTTTTCTTGAATAAGAAGTACTCTCTAAATGTTCCTATCATGTATGTACAATGGAGCCTTGTGCACTTGTGCTTTACAGAGTAGACGAAGTCATCCTGTGCTCTGCATGTTTTCGACAGTTCTGTATTTTAAAAAGTTTGAATTACATAGTCTTTAAGATAACGTAAGTTGACCTTTTTTATAATGGTCACAGTAGTGGTAATTGCCCTCTCACTTATATGGTGTTTATGTCAGATGACCTAATGCAGTCCTGTTTTCTCTCTAGGCTACTTAGAATTTGAAATATTTCTAAGACACTATTAAGAGCCTGCAAGTCCTTGCTTAAACAGCTTGTATTAAAACCTGAGTTTCACATGTTTTTCCTCTTCTCTCTAACTCTTCTTGATAGACTATTCTTTGTGGCATGGGAGAACTACACATAGAGATCATTCATGACCGAATCAAACGTGAATATGGAATTGACACTTATTTGGGACCTCTTCAAATAGCATACAGAGAAACTATCCTAAATGCTGCCCAAGCTACAGGTGAAATGAGTGAATGGAAAGACCATCTTGTTTCTGGTTTTGTAGCTTGATTTACTTTAAATGATCTTATGAGCAACTTTCAGATGAATTTTATGTATTAGTTTTTTTCCAAATGGTGGTTTTGTCTTTTTTTTTTTTTCCCCTGCAGATACATTGGACAAAACAGTAGGAGATAAACGACACTTTGTAACTGCAGAGTTAGAGGTGAGGCCCAGGCTAGGGGAGAAAGCAATGACAAAACCCATTATTGAGTATGCTGCGAGTGTCATTGAAGTGCTACCCAAAGAACTCCAAGAAGCTATAGAAAATGGAGTCACAAATTCATGCATTCAAGGTAAAGGAAGTGCTATGACAGCTATACTGGTCTAATGTTGCTGTAAGAAACAATTTAATATGTTTCTAGAAGGAAAGACTCTTTGGCAGCTTGAAAACTAAAAGCTAGTACATATAAACGTTAGATGCAAAGGAAAATTCTGAAATTTCCTTAATGACAAAAACTACCAAACATTCCTTTCCCTATGCCAGGAATGGAAGTCAGCATGCCTTTGGTTTAATGTTGATTTCTTCTCAGTCACTCAACAGTGAGCTTGGGGTTCTTTAGGTTTGTTTTTTAATCTGGTATAAGAGATAAGGCATTTACTTGATGACATCACGTAATCCACAGTGATGTGACAGAAGGGGATTCAGAGGCCAGCATGTACATACCACACTTCTATTAGAGTTACTATTATTTTTTTTATTTTAAAATATGTTAAATCCATGAAAGTATACAATAACAAGCCATACCTAATTGCAAAGTATAGGCTTTCTGAAGGACTAAACCTGTCCTTTATGTTTGATTAAAAATAGGAAGTATTTAATAATTTGTGGCCAAAGAAGTCTCCCTTACAGTAAAATTAACAGGCAGTGCATTGATGAGAATTACTCTGGAAGCAACAGCACGAGGTGGTTTTTTCCACGTTGCTTTGTTGAGTTGGAAAGCGTCTCTCATCTCTGGCTGTGGAATGAGTCTTGACTATGTGGGTTCTTCATGCTTATGAAGGCATTTCAGAACTGTGCTGTCTCTAGCCTAAAATTCATACCATTAAGTGTTTTAAAAAAAATAAATAAATTAGACCTGCCCATGTTCTCTGTAGGAAAAAAGCTATGTGTGTTTTCTCACATAAGGTTCAGGCTCCCATCCAGTCTAATACAGTTTTTGGTCTGATTGAGAGTCCTGTGTTGGAGGAAGGTAACCCAGCCAGGACACTACGTGGTTCATCGCTCATGGAATTGAGTTAACCGTGCAGTTTTGGTAGTGGGTTAGTATCAGGCTTAGATGTGATCACATTGTGTTGAAAAGGAAAATACAGAAGATATTCTGGCTTTTGGTTAAACAAAAGGTTTCACTGATTGTTTTCAAATGAGGCCTTGTTTCAATAGACAAGCTTTAGATATCATCATGTATTAAAAAATAACTTAATTTTAGGGAAGTGTGGAAGGGAACACTCAGGAACGTCTGGCTCTGAAAATTATCTGTGCTTTTGGTAAAGAGAGTAAAAAAGTAAGACTCCGCCAAAGAAGACAAAGGAATGCAAAGCTAGGTAACGACAAAATCACAAAATGAGGAACAAAAACAGTAGTCATGTCCTTTGGGAGAGGAAGGGGAAGGAGAAGGGGAAGAGGAAAGTGAGAAGCTCCAAATTGATCCTGAAATTGCATGTGTCTTAATGTCCTGAAAAACAAATGTGCTTTTTTCTTTTTCTCCTTTTTTATTTTTTTTTTCCTAGGACCCTTGCTTGGATTTCCAGTTCAGGATATAGATGTGACAGTGCAATCACTGACAGTGCATCCTGACACCTCCCACACGATGATATCAGCCTGTGTCTCCCGTTGCATGCAAAAGGTACAGTGAAACTGTAAGCTGCTGTACAACACAGCAGCACAATATACTACTGGGAAAATATATGTGTATCAGTATCTGGTAATTGTTCTTCTCTGACAGTATAATGCCCTCACTGGGGACTTAGTAGTCTACATAACTCTCCTTCCTTTCCATGTAGGCTTTGAAAAAAGCTGGTATACAAATACTGGAGCCCTTGATGAACCTAGAGATCACAGTAAGTGAAGATCATCTCAGTGCAGCACTTGCTGACCTTGCACAGCGGAGAGGTAGTGTTCAGGAAATCCAGAGTCGTCAAGATAACAGAGTTGTTGTTGCTGCTGTTCCACTAGCAGAAACGATGGTATGTGATGATCTTATTAATGGTAAAATGCAAATCTGATCTTTTTTTATATGCTTAAAAATAATTAGGCTTCAGTTTGCTTTTCCTGTTGTTACGGATGAATAAACTTGGAATGGATGTTTTTTATTGTATTTTAATTATTGAAGGTCTGAAGCAAGTTCCCACAAATCTAGTAGTGTTTTTGTGCCTGATTCAGGCTGTTAAGCTAGCATGTTTTCAACTGTAAGTCAGAGAAGTAGTAAATACTACTAAACCAGGTTTTAAAGAGAATCGTTTTTTTAAAAGTATATTACTAGGTTCACTCATGCATGTATTACACTTCTAATAGAGTAATATTAAAAAATTAACTTATACTAGTATGTTGCAGTATGCTTCTGACTCTCTCTCCCTGTGACTTAAGCAGCTTATATTCGTGTGACGTGTCTTCTCCATTTTGTCCAGGGCTACTCAACAGTTTTGCGCTCTCTAACATCAGGCTCAGCAACCTTCACTTTGGAGCTTGCCAGTTACCAAGCCCTGAACAGTCAAGAGCAAAATGCACTTCTTCAGAGGAGGATGGGGTTGGTGTGATTGCTTTACTCTGTAGAACAATACAGATAAATATTTTCAGGAGCCTGTTTATGTACACCAGTACGTTCTTCTGGGACCAGCTGGTTGTGGTAAATGATTAATTAGGAGCTGTACAAGCAGATGGTGCTTTTAACTGTCCAAGGGAAGGTTCACGAGATTTTGTTCTTCCGGTACAGCCTTGTAAGAGCAAAGCAGCTGAACCAGAGATGCAACCACAATTTGCTGCTTGCCACTTATCTTACAGATATCTGCTCTGAGAACTGATGCAAATCTTCTTCATAGAAATGAGCACTAAGAGCACCTTAATGTGCCATTAAGACTGTTTCTTACTTCAGTAAGTAAAGTTTGTGAAGTTTATGTCTATAAATGAAATAACTTTACAGTTTTAGCAGTCTGTATCTTGATTTGTTTTCAGCTGAATAAAAGAATATGGTTTATAAGTGTTTTGAACTGTACAATGGTAAATATGACTTCCTGTATTGTTAGAAACCAGTTTGAACCAGAGTTCAGAACTGGCTGTAACTTCTACCTGAGTTTGCTTAAGCAAATAAGCAGAATGGATGCTTCTGCAAATTGAGGAGGATCTGTGCAAAACATAGAAGAAAGGCAGAGTTCTCCCAGGACAGTGACCCCTGTCCACCACCTTGGAGTATGTTGAGGATTTTTTTTGACCTTCAGGAATGAGTGATTTAACCTGTAATGGTTTTCATTTGCTATGTGTTACAAGTCAGTTCTCATTTGCAAATTGGTTACATAGAAAAGTGGTGAATGATAAAATACTCTGAAATAAAAAGATAATTTTGCTCTTTATTTATGTAGCGTCTTATCTTTATTTTCCCTCAACTTTAGAATGTAAGGAAACTGGAATTGGTAGCTATGGTATCAAGTTTCAGGATTTCACAGCGAAGAATCCCCATTTCTAATGAAAGCTAAAAAATGTCATTTTTACTCCAACAACAATGTCAAGTAACTATTTTAAAAGTGAAAGTTTAAGTCTTAGTTCAAATTTCAAACTGCATGTACATACATTCATACCCCAGAGGCACTTCAGGTTGTTGACTAGAAATTTCTGCAGCAGTTACTACCCTCTTGCTTCATGGGCGCAGTATCCAACAAACACAGGTTCAGCTGCTATGCCACGGCTGTTAAAATGAAGTAGAATGTGTATAATTATAATCAAACACCTGGCTGGTTGTGTAGGCAGGAAGAGAGATACTGGCACTCTAGTTTAATCTTTGTGTAAACAAAACTACTTCCAAGAAATAACAGATGGCCTCTTTAGGGAGTGAAAAAGGGCCCTATTCTACAGTTCATTGTACTTCTGTTACAGTTCTCCGTTTCAATAAGGTGTATGAGGATATTAGACAATAGATTAAAAAGCTTATATTCAGGGTCTAATTGTCTTGATGTTCTGCAAAATCTATTGCTTTTATTGAAAAGTAGTCATAAGAATGTGAAAATAGGAATCAGCTAACATTTATACGCTCCCTACCCCCCCCACCCCCCCAGCCCCAATGTTTCCTTCATATGCAGCTCTGTCATTTTCATGAATTTTTGGGGGAAGCCAGTTTTAGTAAATGAGACTTTTTTCCATCTACACTAATGTAAATTATTCTGTTCTCTTTAAAAAACAAAAAAACCCCTTTAGCTTACGATGGTGCAATAAGATAGTACAAAAAGGTGTGTCAGAGTTAAAGTAGTTGTAGTCAAAATTCTGCTGCTTGAATATTTAAGAACTATACAGTATTGCTACAGTGATTTGTACGATTAGATATACTGGTGTTTAAATTGAACTTAAGAGCTGCAATGGAAGAAACAGTAATGAAATAGCTCAGCTGAACTATTGCTTGCCCCTAAGCAAGACCTACTCTTAGTAAAAGACAGGGTTGTTGTCTAGGCCTCTGGAATATACGCCCACCTTTTTGTTTCCCTTCTCCCATCACCATTTCTCTGCAATTTGGGCTGCTGTATACTACAGGAAGTTGAGTTTAGATCTGAATAGCAGCTACTGCATTCATGGTACTATTTCAATGGCAGCGGCCTTGGACAGGCGGAGCTACTGTTACGCCAGTGACTGTGATCTAGCTGCCAAAAAGTTCTGCCTGCCCATTCCCTCACACTCTGGTACCCAGCTGCAAAGCAAGCCAGAGCTGTTCATCCTACTTGGAATGGCTCCTTAGCCTGCTACAACTGCCACAGTCTGTATATACCATGTATAAAAATGTTAGTAGGGACATAGTTCTTTGCCCATGATCTAAGACTTTACAACAGTCTGACTAATAAAATAAGTCCTTTGAGTTCACACAGTGCTAAGGAAGGCCCATATACATAAGGTGCAACAGAAATGCAGCTCCAAGGACTGCTCTTTCATCAGCAGAAAGGGAATAGTTTCTCTCATGTTTTTCTGGTTCAAAGGCTATATATAAAAGGAATAATTTTCAGGAGCATGTGTCCTTTTATTAAGGTAGTCTGTTTCTAACAGGAATTGTTCGCCATAAAGTTTATACACCAGCAAAGCAGTTTTAGCACCAGAAAGTAGTTTAAGGAAAAAGTGTGCAACAAGTACAAGGAGTAGTCTTTAGTCTGCCTCTGCATTCTGCATCTCTCATGCTAGCACTACCAGAGCAGCTGCATTTATCTGGATCAGCTCCCTACATAGCAATACAAGTGCCAGCATTAAGAAAGAGGATGGAGATGCAGCAATAGTTAACCAGGTCCAGGAATAGCATGGCTTAGTTCACTGTAAAACCCTAATCCTAGAGATACGGCCACTGTGCACTTCGCTATTCTGTTGTATCAGTGTTTTTTCTAAGCCACATCAAGAGATGCACCATCCTGTTAACTGATAGGACCTAAGTTTTTAAAGCCCTTTAATCTTGTTTTTAACATGCATTTATTAACTCTCTTAACGCATCTATTTTTCTCATGACTGAGGGAGGTAACACAATTTACATAGAGCTACTTTCCTATTGCATTTTTTTAAGCCAGCTTGAAATAAACCAAACAAGTCAAAATTTACAAGTCTTTCAGTCACTCTTAACTTGATTAATTAAAGAGCTAGTTTATACTGTAAGCTGAAAGCCAGTGATTTCAACGTGTAATCAGGCTAAGACATCTACAGGAACACGAACAGAGTGCTTGAGTTTTAAGTGCTGACTGTAACTGCCATTGTATATTGTTCTCCAAAAAGCTGATTTGTATGTACCTCAAAATACTTTTTCACAGTGTTGCGTTTTTCAGTGACTCGTCATAAACTTTTGTGGAGCAATTAAATGGCACGTTGCATTCTTGCTGCAGTCCAACTTTGCAGCAGCATTTGGGAAAACCTAAAAGGCTCTCTGACTGTATACTTTTAAAAGTGGAGTCAAACTTGGACTTAAGACCTAGAAATCACTCGTTTCTACAACCGCGAATACACAAAGACAGCACTAGCAATAATTAACCAGTAACTTGTCTAGATGATACTTTCTAGGAAAGAACTGCAGAGAAGACTATGTTATGAACTGACTTTGTTTACAGTAGTCATAAATTAATTAAAGTTTATCAGGGGACTCTTTATCTACTCCTTTCAGTCCCTACACTAAGGCAATACTTGAACAAATAGCTCACTCAAGCTCACCTCTTATGCAGACAGCTCCACCTGATTGGCTGCTGCAGGTCTTTAATTATTATTTATAATAAATAATTAACAACTTCCTTTAAATGTCTACTTTTTCTCCTGTCTGTGCACTCCTCCCGCATACTCTTTAATATCCTTTTTGTCTCAAATCAGTCAATCATGGCAGTGTTTTCTCCTTTAGAGGAAAGGAAGGCATAGATAAATTCTAGTATTTCACTGAAGAAAGTTAATGAGTACTGAAAACGTTAGTTGCAAAACTGTCTGGAGCCCCTGTCTTACTGTATTATCTGTTCTTCCTCTTCTGTGGATACAAAAAACACGTGGAATGACATTTACATAGCCAGATTAGACTCCTAGCTCTCCTCCCTTCATTTCCAGGCCAGCAGTTTAGGCCTGTACTTGAACTCAACTGGTTATAAGGCATGAGAACCAAGCTCTACTATAGCGATAAATCTTACCGGAGCATGCGGCATCGATGATTAGTCAGTCTTTCATAGGCATCCTGTAAGTTGGTCACATTACTGCTGCTCCAGAGTCTTTCCCCTACAGCACTTGCTCGAGGCCTGTAAGGATACACTGAGTTTTAGAGTAGGTATGGTCTATTACCAAGAATGGATTAAAGTTTTTAATAGCAGCTCTTACATATCCGCAAGCATCAATTTTTATAGCTGCTCAGGTTCAGCACAGAGCACTGTTACCACTACCATATAGTCCTGTTGGATTAATTAATGCTCCTTGTAGCTGGCTTTCTAAAATCTAAAGATAAAGCAGTTCGTACCATAATCTTGGTGTGAGGTTAGTTGCATCCACAAATTCCCCCCACAGGCAGGCTTCTCCACCTATTAAAAGCTTTTTCTGTTTTTCAGATCCTGAAGTCAAAGCAGAAAGTTAGAATTTCCATTTGCCCAGAAGATGGGCATATATCAACAATTTCATTTTCCAATACTGAGAGAGGACTGATGTTTGGTTTATCATATAGAATACCTATCCTGAGCACTAACTTAACATTTTGGTAGTCATGTTACTCAATGTGAGAACCACCAGACCATTTGCCCAGAAAACCTGTTTCCCTTCTCTGTCAGAAAGGATTTTACCTTTTATCCATTGAAAGACATTCCTCAGCATTCTGACATTCTTCAGAGATTTCAGTCCTGATTGAAACTGTTCATTCCATCACACACAGAACATTCCTTGAAAAATCTATGAAGTCAGGTGTTCTCCCTGATCAGCTCTGAGAGCTACCTTACACAAAATGAAAGGCCCGGAGAAAGAATAAGATGTTTCTAACAGCTTTAGCCAGCAGGAGAGAATGTCTTTTTCTAGAACAGTCTAATGCTCGCTCTAGAAGCTTGAATATGAATTCAGTGTCTGTCTACCAAACAGTCATTTCGCACAACTCTGCCCCTAACACATGATGCATCTGTCCACCTAGTCCAGCATCCTGTCTCACACAAGCATCAGTGCTACATGCTTGAGGAAGGCAACACTATTCCCTGTGACAAGTGGAAAATTGCAGGTTTTTTTATATGAATTTTTAATGTCAGCTAGAACTCTGGAAAAGTCCTGTGATTACAGCCTATCTGATTACAGTGACTGCATGACCACTGTAAATAGCCTTGTTCTTTCCATTTATGCCTTACTATGAACCAAAGACTTTCATGCACAGAACATGCGTATAAAAAAAAAAAAAGTAACAAACCAGGGAAGTTAAGCGGTTCGACGCTGTAGTATTTCTTCCAGTCTTGCCCATAACTAATGTAGTCTAAATACCAGGGAGCTGCCAGGATTGCAGTGAACCCAGCCGCAGTGACACTGCTCAGTTCATGAGCATAGTTGTTTCCCATCCACACTTGAACTACAGTGTCTGGTTTCAGCTAAAAGGAGGAAAACCAAAACAAAACCCCAAAACATTAACGACAATCCCAATTTCTGTTATCAGGAAAAAGGATGATGGATTTTAAAACTGGGTATTTTGTTTTGAAGAGGAACGCTTTGGAAGTTACCTTTTGGTTTTGGTTCCGCCCCCACCCCCCAGTCTAAAGCTGATTAGCTCTTTGCTGGTTTTAAACAGAGTTCACACTAAAGTGAAGCCTAGGTTATACTACAAACAGTTTCTGCCCTAAGAGGGTTCCTACATGCACCAGTTACCTGACCAGCTCTGAAAAGCTAAGCACCTGGTGTTACTAGACCAGGCCCACAGTTATGCGTGAAAAAAAAAAATAAAAAAATACAGAAACTCACAGAAACTTCCCTACCATTTACTCTGATGCTCTAAAGCGTATTATCTGTGTTCACCTTTAGAAAGCACTTCAGTGCTGGTCTACCTGTTCCACATATTTTACACGTTTAATAAATTATAATTTCAAGGCAAGCCCCACACCCGGGGAGACTTGCTAAAGTCAGCAGACTTGCTTTAACTCTTAAGAGACATAACCGTAACTACTTAGTAGTCTACTACAGCCCCTCACAATATTGTGCTGTTATGCAAGAGTATCTTAACTTACTTTTCCATCTTACCTGTGCTTTGTTATCAAACACTTCTTGCCAGACCACATATCCTTTGTTATAGGAGGAAACAATGTCCAAAATCCTAGAATTTAGAAATAAGATCATGTTTATGAACTTCAATGAGATCAGTAGAGGCACAGTTTTCTACCCTAAGGCACACCAGGCCTTTCCCAGCTCTGCATAGGGGACCAAAAAAACCCTTTTTTTTTTTTTTGCCGATTTTGGCCTTCAGTGCTCTGCCTTGAAGAAGATGTTATTCCATGTATAAGGATATGTACGTGCAGTAACACAAACTGATGTTCAGAACTACCAGCAACTCAGACAGCTACCTAAATCCATGTCTTTTAAGAATAAGAGAAGTAAATGGCTGCAAAAACCTTAGCACTTTTCCTCCCCATCCCGTGTGTTCACATTACAGCAGATACCTAGTTTAAGATACCCAATACACTCAGAGTGTGTGTAGAACTAACCTATGTGTCTTTGTTGCGTCCCACATTTTAAACCTGTGAACTTTGCATTCAGTGTATTAAAATAAAAGAAAGCGGGCAGTCCCCAATACATGGGAATTTTTGAAAACAATATAGGCTAACCCTAAATCAGCTTCAGTATCTGTGCCTCAACACCTCCCTCAGACAGTGGGTGTGAAAAGCTGAGCAAGAATTTAAAAAAAACAACATACTTCTCAATATAGTAAGATTCCAGTCTAGCATAGTCAATTCCAAATCCTTGCTTCTTCATGAACTCTTTCACTTCAGGGTTAGACTTCCTTAAATAATAACAACAAAGCAAGTTAGGAAAAAAAAATAATAATTTTATTTTGTTTTAAACCAGATTTCTGAACGATTTCCATCTATGCACAGCAGACTAGCTGATGCCTTAGGCACACCATAGCCTGGAATCCACAACAGAGTAGAAGCAGCAGGCTAAGATAATTTAGGTATTTTGAAACAGCTTCATCCCAGTTTGAAATAAAGCCAACAGTCCTGGTTCTCTGGTAGAACTACTGGTGTCCCTGTTCTGAAGCAGTCTCTGGCAGGCTGCCTCAAGCTCCTAAGAACTCTGGGGTTCCTGGCTTCTCTGCGACTTTGTGGGAAGGTTGCCAGCAGGTCTGGAAACTGAGCAGCCATAATAACAGGGGATCTGGAGGACTGACGTTAAGAATTTGGGAAAATACCCCAAAAGCAAACCAACACTTTCGTGATAAAGCATTTGTCAGAAATTTTCTTTCTTTTTAAAAATTAAAGCAAGTCCTGAGTGTTCTGATTTGGTGTTTCAAGAGGACACACAAATACCAACTAGATCAATGTGAGTACTCATGCAATTAGATATGCTCCGAATTCTATATTATTAGTTACTCCAGCAGAGAGACTCCAAAATATTCAAAATCCACAACCAGTTGAAAAACTCTATTAAAACATGCCATACTTTTAACACAAGCACACAAGAGTCAGTACTGTAATACTTAATGTTAGCAGATTTTCTGAAAGGCAGTACTCAATGGGAAGAACTGCTCTTCCTTTAACACAAAGCATTTAAATGTTAATTATCTCACATAGTTCTTTTCTACCATACTAGTTCTCCTTCCTGCCAGATTAATTTTCACAAAGAAATCCTTAAGAGTACCTGAACATTTGTGAAACTACTAGACAAAGCAAAATTCTGCACATCACTTGCTTGTTGAAGATCAAGAACGCTCTGCCTGTAAACAGTTACAGAAGTAGGAGTGGAGATCTTTGGCTTAAGCAATGAAAACTGTCTCATGCAACTGAGTTCCATAATTGATGGATTTAGGCAAGTTTAAGAGGCACTAGGAATTTATTCTTTGAACTGTCACCATACCAACAATCGAAGTTCACTTCATCTCCTCCCAAATGAATGTATGCATCTGGAAATACACTGCTGATCTCTTTGTAGAATTTACTCATGAAGTCATAAGTTGTATTCAAAATGGGATTTACAGGTCCAAAGGACCCAGTTGGATGTTCTCCACTGTAACAAGGGGTGAGAAGATCTTTTTGACCTAATAGAAACAATTAATAGAGGATATTCAGTTCCATGTTGGTATGCTAACTTTACCAGCAGGAAGAGGCAGTTACCCATATTAAAAAGGCTAATGTCCATGACTTAAGCGCTCATCTATCTAAGTATAATCAAATAGAGGCAGGATGAAATAAAACAACTTGCCCAAGGTTGAAAAACCCTCTAACTGGAAATCAGGACTCTGACTTTCAGATTTGTGATTTAACAGACACTAATTTATGGAACATGTCACTGTACCTGCAAAACAGCTTCTGGATGACTACTTGAATAAAAAAAGCTTTAGCGAATTTAGGAAGGAAGCCAATTAGAAAGAAGCCAAACATAATGAGTGTGCTCCGGAGGCCTCTTTTCTCTTTTCATTACTCTTTGTTAACACCTAAGTAGGTGGGAGGTATAAGGCTCAAGGTAGATGTCCTGCCTCAGTCTGCTAGGAATTTACGTCTACACAAGAAAAGAAGGCTAGACACACATCAAAATGAAGCATTGGCTCTTGAGGCAGGATACATGAAACAACTTGAGCCAGGATAACAAAACTGGAAAAAGTCATCCTATCTAGGTTGGAGATTCCAAAGTCCAGTTTACTTGGTAAACTGTGGTTGCAGCAGCAGCACCTCAAATAGGGCCCTTGTGGTAGATTGTTTCAACTACTCTCCTTGCATGCCTTAAGACATCTCACCAGTATCTTGAATTTGAATGCAAACAAAGCATAGCTACCCAGATTTGTAAGCAAAGCCAGGACCATGTCCTGTGCATCACATTAAACAAGCTATTATACAAGAAGCTCTCAGGAACGACCTTTGATCCTAATATGAATGTAGGCCACCCCACATATCACCAGGCAAGCCACTGGCTTTTATTAGTGCTTTGTAACAGCAAAGACCACATGATATGAAGGATTCAGAATGATTGTTTAGCAAATTTAGTTATTGCCTTGTTCCTTTCCTCCTTATTTTAAATTAGTGAGAAAGAGCCTGAGGCATCTTCCAACATTATGGCCACATACCCACACGATAAGCTTAAGACTTGCCCCACGGCTAAAGCTATGAAGCACTAGAAAAACCTTTACTATTTCAAGTTTGGCCAAACCATCTTATGTTAACTGCAGTGAAACTGCAGTCAGTGCACCTCAAATTAAGGCACAAGGTTCCCTGGTCCTCGAGTACACGTAAACACTACCACTCTCAGACTCAAGCATTCTCTATCAAGAGAAGTATTATTCTGAAACCCAGAAGATAGAGTGTGAAAAAGCATCCAACTTTGCTGGTTTTTGTACACTCGCAGATTACCACTTTACTAATAGAAACATTAACCACTTTGACAGAACGTTCCCAAAGCAGAGATCTCTACTCTAGAGACAGCAACTCACTATTTCTAGCCACTGCCTTATTACTCTAAACTCAAGAGTACTGGATGGGGGTATAACAACAACATGAAGTCTAAGGCAGACAGAATACATCTGTGCCTTCCCACCCACAGCCAGCACAGGAAGCGTCAGCTTTCTCTGTTCACGTTAGTTCCTCTTAACACGTAAAGGTCACGGCCATCACTGAGTCCGCCCCATGCTTACCTCTTATCAACAGCCTTTCAAAGCACTTTAAAGGCTGCTTTTTAACGAGTTCATTTGCTTGCTACACCCTACTTACCACAATCTTTTAGTAATTAATACTTTCTTGGACATACCTTTTCCCCAAGACTGCGTGTGTCCTGGGGTATCGAACTCGGGGATAACTCTAATGCCTCTTAAGCGGGCATACTCAATCACCAGACGGACGTCAGCAGGAGTATAGACGTGGTTATAGGAGTACGCTCCCTGTAAAGTATTCACACTTAGAAACGCTTTACAAAACATTATACCAGCAGCTCACAAAATTGGAGCTCCTTAGCTCACAGTTACTGAAGAAAACAGAAAAGCTAGTTTCTATTCCATCAGATTTTTGAAAGATACGTTCTTCAATTCTTCTGTACAGCAGCAAGTTAGTTTTCCCCTCCACCTGTGAATCATTAGTTCTGGAACACAGGGCCCTTGTTAAATGATATGCAAGGCTAATCGAAAAAAATCTGTCAAGTCAGAAAGAACGGTATCTTCTTCCAACACCTCTGCTTGTCAATTTGGATACAATACCCAATTTAGCATCAGGGCGTGTTTGTTTTGTGATGCTGAATTTGAGTGTTATTCCACGCCCCACAGCCAACAAATGTGACGAATGACCCAGACTGCTACAGTTTGGTTAAACAGATGCTTGTCAAAGAGTCAAACTACTTAAGAAAAGCGTCATGACTCCTCATGATTAATAGCACCTTAAGCTTCTATTTATCTGGAAACGGTTTCCACAGCTGAGTTACTCAGAAAAGATAATGGTAAACAAGAAGCCTTTCAAAAAGGTGGCTATTGAGACAAAGGCCATCTCCCTCTCTCCAGCTGTCTGTGGAATAGGACAGAACTCCACAGCATTACCAGGAAAAATAATCTGATTGCACCATCCACCATCTACAATTTTTTAATTAAAAAATTCTTCATGACATCTGCTACATAATTTTCAAGAGGATCAGATTCTAGCAAGCATTTTAAAACAGAATTATAAATCTTGTGCTTAGGCTCCATCTACTTAATTATTCATGCTTGATTTGGCTACTACTGTACCAGGACTAAGCAAGAACCTCATGATGGCTTTCATTAATTAGCAAAATCTGCTGTGAATCAGGAAATAGAGACACATTGCACTGTATTTGTTTTAGAAACAAATCTGCCAAGGCAGATATATTCAACCATTAGTAGGCTCTGCATTTTATTTTCATGAAATATATGCCATATTTCCGCTCTCCCACCCTGCTCCAACGATGTTTACTCACCTTGTCACTTAATTCAGGGAAATAAATACTCTGGTAAGGGAATGACTGATCATCTACAATATGCCAGTGGAGAACATTGAACTTGTTAAAAGCCATGGCATCCTGTAACAAATAACGCAATGCAGTCTAGTTAAGCACTTCACTATCACAGAAAACCTTTGCAAAAACAGGCAGTCTTGTCCCAGTATATCCTACCTGTCTAAAGCAACAACTTTAAAAAGAAGAGAAAGAAAAAGTATACTATGTTTCACTGAATCCTAGATGCATACACCAAAACGCACCAGCCTGCTTATACCACTGCTCCATTCTTCTGCCATCTATTTGCACCACTCATGCTACTCTGGCTGGTAGAAGAGGAACTGCTATAAATGCTTATTAACTTCTTCCACTTCAGAACATATCTGGGTAATTCTTTACGCACCACCAGCTATTTCAGCTTACAGAAAAGCCTATACTTTTCTACCTAAATACTTTGGACTCGAAAACTAAACCACATGACAGAGTTTCCTACTATTTAGTACATACCTACTTGCTAGTGACTCCTGAAGAATCCATTTCAAATGCATGCAAAATAAATGCATGCATTTTCCACAAAGAAGATAGTGTTCCCTTACGTCTTCAGTCATTACAGTGTCAATACTTCCCTTTTTTGATCTTGAAGATAACCAAGATGTTAACATACTTATTTTAGAATTATGACTCCAGATGGGACAGCTAGACACATACCCAAGTTATGCTAGTTTGTCAGAGTCACTAGACGCCTTGTGTGCTGTGAGCAGATGGAATAAGTGTTCTCTAGGTTGGACTGAGTAGTTGCAACACAGCTGCTTCCAATCCCTTGCCACAATACAATTATTTCCACTCCTCCCCCTTTCTTTTTTTCACCAAGCTGGTTTTAAAGAAGTGACAAAATCTCTTCAGGAACTCCCACCAAATCCAAAGGAAGGAAGATTTATACCTTGTCCATTCCTCAGAATTATCTCATCTATTTTATTACACAGCAGAAGCTTAATTGCCACACGTCTTCATGCATTTCTATCAAATACCATCCTTCCACATAGAAAATTATAGCTCCTGACCTTTAACTCAGCCACTCCTTCCTCAAGGGCAATGCCCTTCCAGGAAATACAGTACAGCAGCTGAACACAAACAAGAAATGTACTTGAACTGCTGCCTTAAGCATCTAATTACCACATGTCAGTGAAGGGATTACTGATGCTTTTTATTAGGTTAGCCTGGATTCAAGAAGGCACAGAGGTGGGAGGAAAAGCACACTTATTCTCAAACCAGCAAAATGTTATAAAATGTAGCACTGGGAAAGTATTAGAGCCATGTGCATAATTTAAGGAAAGAAAACAGAATAGCAACAGTTAAAGAAACACAAAAATGGTTAGAAATTCAAGTCTCAAAAGTCAAGTCCAACTCTTTGGACATTGTTGTCTCTTTTAGAAAAGACAACAAATACTGATACAATTAACTACTTGAGTCTTTGAAGCACCCTCAGTTGTCAATGTAACACTACACAAACACTTCTTGCAGAACAGGGACTGATCTTAAAGGTAAATACAAGTGGTAAATACCCATGGAGGGGCAAGTTCTGAGCCCAGTTCAAGGATGACGTCAGAAATGAAGACTGGTTTTGCCTGCACTCTTATCCTGCCCATCTTAAGCCTGCTCTGCAAAGTTCTGCAACATGGAAGGCAATTTTCTAACGCTACTTGATCTTGGAAAAGCAAGACAGAGACAAGACAGGAAACTGCATGTTCCTCCATTCAAAGGGTCTTCCATTTCAACCCACCAAATAAACCTTGCTACAAGGATTTCAACAGCAGAAAGGAGTACACAACAGAAAAAAAAACCCACAGCTTTGGTTGCTATGATTGCACAAATTCATCACCTTCCCATCAACATGGGAGCATACAACTATTAGTGTGATTATGTAAGCTTTTCAGAGAAAGTTTTGTTTGGGTTTTTTATTTGTGTGGGCTTTTTCGCTTTGAAGAGACACAGTGAAAGAAATCAGTACCTTCCAATGAACATTTCCATTTTCCCCCCTGCTCTGTACTACTTAATTACTGGCTTGCCCTTAGCAGCCTAAGAAAGGATTACCGAAGCCTGGTTATTGAAAAGACTGGAATTTTCCTGCAACCACTGGCACTGAAGCCAGGACTTCCAAGGTCTCCCCTGCACTGCTTGGTGACAAGTCAGATGTCTCAAAACATGCTTCCAAGAAATATGTGAGCTGGTTTAGGCAACAGAAAATACAAAAAGCCCAAGGTACCACAAATCCCAGCCTCCTTTACAGATTCACTGTGTCTGCCCACTCAATTCCTCTCCAGTGTACGTTCTGACCTTCACTTAGCAAAGGTCGCTCTGTCCTTTCAGAATTCAGCCAGAGGAGATGGGTTCTCCTTTCACACCAGTTCCAGTTGCTACGTACTTCAAGGGGCAAAATGCTACAACAAAAAGCCTTCATTATTAATGATACAGAACTGCGCACTTACCAAGTTTGTAAGAATAGATTTCAATGGTAAGTAATGCCTTGAAGTGTCTAATAAGATTCCTCTATGAGCAAATCTTGGGAAGTCGTCGATTTCAGATTCATTGACAAGAAACTATGAGAATGAGATTTAAAAATTAGAGTTCTCATTTTATATTCATCATTTCAAACAGGAAATACTTACTTTTCAGTTTGTTAGCAGCTTTCTGATGATAGTTTTCTGAAAAAGTACTTAATGGAACTAGTAGATATGCTGTTTTTAAAAAAACACCTAATAAAGAATGTGGTTGTCTGTTATCAGGACTGTGTTTTTAGTTAATAGCTATGCTTACACTTCCATAGTCATCTTCATGAACCAACTGGCTGAAGGTTTCCAAACCTGGAGAAAAAAAAAAAAAAAAAAATCAAAAAAATGGATCTGGAGTACAACTCAGTACTTGTCCTTAAAGTTTTAGTTAAAAACAGGACCACACCTATTTACAGGTGTTCACGTAGCTAGAAACAATACCTTGTACTAAAGAGAAACTCAGCTACAGTTTCCTTAATTGCTCCAGCACCATAGTTAATGAAGTTCTAAAGAGAGAACCATTCAAGCTCTGCATTATACACAATTACTGAATATTAGCAGTTCAGCTCAGCTGTACCAAATTAATCCTTGAATAGTACGGAAGTTACTTAAGTATGGTAGAAATTTCTGGTGCTGTCATGCATCCATTCCTGTAATTTCTGGAACTGGTGAAGTTTCTAATTTAGCGTGAAAAATCTGCTAATTTAGACTAACATTCCAGTAAGAACAGCAAACTGAAACTTCAGTATTATGGTCTTTTTGGTGATGTGTCCTGCATGTTCGGTTATTAGGTGCAGTCAGAGAATTATTTGTTATTCACACTGTAGATCAGAGAGCTTTTTTAGCACCTAGGATTTGGTTGGTTTGACTGATTTCTGGCACAGCAAGGGTGCACTTCTGGTGTGCCACTGGATCTGAGATGCTGAGCATCCGAACCAAGGGTCTGACCAACACATATCTGGGTATCCTTCTGGCCTCTATGCTCAAGCTTACTTCTCAGGAAGGACTGAATGAGGGCAAGGCTCAGAGGTCATCTGGTTCTTAGTCTGGCATGGATTTTGCACAAGTCCAGACCAAACAGTCCTACAGGAAAAGTATCAGCTTACCTCTTAAAGCACCCCATACCTCATCTGCTTTCAGTATAGCCACAGGCTCAGTTACAGTTAAATGATCTAAAGAAAAGAAAAAAAAAAGTTATTCCTCAAGAAGTATGGAATGACAGGACAATGCTAACAGGCATTAAAAAGATTCTTCAAGTGCCACATCTTCTGTTGTTTTTTTAAATTCTAACCAATGCTGGTTTTAATGGTGACACTGTGCTGCTCTTTCTCATTTATGTATTCCTGAAATAATGCAAGCTACGAGTCAGACAGCAGTTAGATGATAAAACAAATATGGTGTTTAATAATGGCAATGTTAAATATTGCACATAGGCCAGAATTCCAGCTAAGTTTAACCCAACTGATTTAAAACATATCAGTTGATAGTTCTGCATTTAAGACATAGGTGATAAGGGTTGGGTAACTAAGCCAGATCTAACCGCAGAAGTTTACTTCTCCTTTTGCCTTCCTTTTCTATAGATTATGCTTACATATTTTTTTAGAGATATAGCAAGTAATATTGTTAAGTGCTTACTATAATGGTGTAATTACAAAGGAAAAATAAAAAACCAGACCCCACCATCTAATCAGCGTGTGTACATAGGCAGTGAGATGAAGTAAGGTAAAAACAATGGTATCTGAAGGTATCTATAACAACCATCCCTTAAGTTTGAGTACTGAAGCGCAGTACAAAGTACTGGAAAAAAAAAGTTTAAATAATTTTGGTTTTCCATCTAAGGTGATTCAGTATATTTTAGCGATGAAGCAAATATCTTCTACATATGTTAATTTTTTAAAATATAACATACACATATATGTATAAAAACACATTATATCTATAGAGCTATAAATTTGCATTATTATTTGAATATTAAAGCAATAATAAACTGACTGGAGTTGCACATTTGAAGCAGGAAAGAGAAAATCAGCGGGGTAAGTTGCTGTATAATGATTTATCGGATCTGCCTCAGCATGAAAGAACAGCTGGTTATAAGTTATACAGTTCAAACATTTGTTTAAACTACAAAGAAAAGCCACTCAGTGACATGATCTGACAGACTCCCTGACAGAAAAGCAGAACCAGCTTTAGTTAAAATCTGAAGTTCACAAATCAGTTCAAAGTTCAACTAGTAGAAAAGCAGTAGAATAACTTCACTGTGGCAGAAGAATTCTAAAGCATTAGCAATTTTGCTGCTATATCTTATTTGCGTTGAAATGCATTATAAACTTGCACACAAGAATTCCACCACTTGGCTACAGGTACCAAGAAGACCGAGTAAACTTAAAATGAGTACATTTCATCACAAATCAGGGAATTAATCCTGCTGCAGGTGTATGATTTAAGACTGAAAGGATCTTTTTTCTAAGGATCTTTATCCTGCATACCAAACAACTAAGTACCTGTCATTTGTTTTAGTGGCCAGCCCAGCCCAAACCACGACACTAGTATAGAATATTATCTCAAGAGAGAACTAGATGAATTGAATATGTTGAATTCTCTGCTAACCTACCCAGACAAAAAGCAATACTATCGACTTATCCTTATTTCTGTTAAGAAACTTCTCTGGTCATTTGGACTTGATTTTAGAGTACTTTTCCACACTGGACTTCAGTTGTAGAACTAAAGCATAGCAGAACAAAACCAATATAACCATCATGTTTTTAAATCCTCTCTTGGATCTGCCGATAGAAAGTGGATTTATAATACTGCAAGACAAATAACAGGAAGTTCAAGGAACACTTTCTGGTTTTCCAGCAAAACCAGAAATACCACGTACATAAGCCAGTGTAGGTAGCTTCAATTCAAATGTAGTTATTTCTCAGGAGAGCGGATGAATAAGCAAAGCCAGCCTGCATGCAATACCCTGGACTGAAAGAAAGGACGATCTCTTGACTAAGCACAGACCTCACCACACATAACTGGGTACAGCACAGCGTAATACCTCTGAGCTTTAATGACAGTTACTAGAAAGGATGGCAGCAGGCAGATCAGCTGAATGCTAGCTAAACTGCAGAAGTCACAGGCTGCACTTCTAACCACCTTCATGATTCACTGTGGGCTGAGATTTCCTGCAGCACTAAGAGCAAGAATTATCTTCGGGCTGCCCCTGTTGTGAAACGCTCTCGAGCGCCTCAGCGAGCCTGGGATTTCCAGC